AGGATTTCTGAAGCTGTGTTAGAGTGACCGCTGGGTTCTTGTCACTTACTTGACCAAGGCCATTCTTGCCCTGTTACTCAGTTTGGTCAAAGAGTCAACTCCTGGTGCTAAACCTCTTCCATTTCACAGTTATTGAGGTTGCTGGGCTCTAGAAATGTTTACCCTCATCCTGATCTGTGCCTCTTCATAATTTAAACATGGAGATCTACAGAAAGTTTAATGGGTGTTTTCAATTTGCTATAATGAGTTATTGAGTGTAGATTGATGCATGGGCAAATATGGCGATTTTATCCATTTTAAGTTAAATAAAGTGTACTAAAAGTAGCTCTGACAAAAGCTTTGGATGTGTGTGTGTGTGTGTGTGTGTGTGCGTGTGTGTGTGTGTGTGCGTGTTGTTAAGGACACTATGTAACTAAAACACTCTGCATCCTGTATGTGGTCAGTGTGATGAATGTCCTCACAACTATAGGAAGACATGACTGTATTTGTTGATTCTGTGCATGTGTGTGTGTGCTGACTCAGGATCATTTCTTATTAGATTAGTTCCCACAGAAAGCTGCAGCCCCGGGGCACTGACACACAGGGTTTCATATGGTTGGCTGGACTCTGTGTTTTAATCTCTCTCTCTCCCTCTCTGTCATACAAACACACAAGAAAGTGAAAGTGACACATAAAGAACATCTTGCAGTTTTTTTTTTCATTTCTACTGTGTTTTCATAACTGTTAGAAATCAGTATAGACAGCAAAACTTAGAGGATATAAATGCCTGGAGAAAAATGAATGTCACAGCCCTGGTGGGTTATTTATTTGCGGGCTGTGACCTTTTTATCCTTGGTGTTGACAATGAAGAGGACAAAGAGCCTGCTGAAGAGTCTAAACAGAAGGCTGATTCTCTGATGCACTGAGCTGTGGTCTTGTTGTGTCCTAGCCTGGCAGAGCTCATGGGTTTGTCTCACTGGTGATGTCAAGCAAAACAACTGAAACAACTGGAAGACGTTCAGCTCCACACTGCTAAATGGGGTACAAGCCAGTCCAAAGACACACAGCTTAGATTGACTGACGACTTTACATTGCCTAGGACTGTTTGTCTACATGTCAGCCCGGTGATACAGTAGACTGGCGACCTGTCCAGGGTGTACCCCGCCTTTCACCCAATGTCAGCTCGGATTGGCTCCAGCCCCCCACAGCCCTGTTCAGGATTAAGAGGCATAGATAATGAATGGATGGGTGGAATGTTTACCATCTTCACCTTCTCCATTTACAGTTTTAGCATGCTAACATTTGCTACCCTGCACTAAACACAACACTGTGTGTGACACTCCCATCAGCCATCGCTATTGTTTGTTTCACAGGGGAACTTGAATGTCTTTACATAATTTCATGGCTAGTCGTCCAGTAGTTAGATAGAAGCGTGAGTGAGTGTCTGCAAAGAAAAAGTGAATACCTTATAGTTGATTCTACAGATATAAGGTTTTAACCAAACAACACCAAGTGTATCTATTCATAACACACCATTATTCTATGACAAACAGTTTTGTCCAACCGCACAAATGCACCTTTAAACTGCCCTTTACCTATGAATTTCGCAATACACAAACCTCTGGACCAGTGAAAACTTACTGAACCAAAAGTGTTTTGAACTAACACAGCATGAAACAACAGTGGCAGCAGAACAATTCACATTCCTCTATCTAGAAAGGTCATGTTCAAACTCAGTGTATTACTGTTTAAGAGCAGACTTTGTCGAGTCTAATAACATGCCATTTGCAACAACACTGAGTATTGTTGAGCTGTGATCTGTAAAATCTACGTTTTCTTGTCACTTGTGTTCAACCCACCACCACACAGGTGAACAGGTGATAACTCAGAGGAGGCCAACGGTATAAAGTCAGGCTAGAAAGCTCTTAGTGACAACGCTGTGCCACTCCTTTATTTATTCATTTACAGTATGACTTCACTCCTATTAATCAACCACACTTCTGTGTGTACATCCTGTTTGACAGCTGGCAAAAATCATACTGCTAATGCCACTGAGGTCCACAGGCTGACATTTGTTCAAAAAAAAAAGAGAGAGATTTTGATTAAAGCAATATGTCAACTTCACAAATACTGCCTCTGTTATTCTGTTGTCAGAATTTGGGAACATTTGAGAGTATGATGTTTTAATATGAGCTAATTTATTTAGTGTAGTTATCAAACTCAGTTACTCAAACTGAATTCAACTGAAAACTCACAGGCAGAAGAATCTATTGCTGAGGCTTAATTTGCAATCACCTCTAAAGCCAGACTTTATCACTTAAACCAGATTTGACCAAATCTGTCACCCCTGACTAATTTTAGGATTGGGTCTGGTTTCTGCTACATTGGTTTTCATTTGACAAGCAGTTTGAGGGGGGTCAAAATGTCTGATTAACTGAAAGTGATCTAGTGGTTTTCGAGCTGATCTAGCTGGATTTCTGGCATGTCCAAAATTTTTAGTTCAGCCAGGTGATTTTAGAAACTTGCTAAATGGTTAAGACACAAAATTGTGTTTGAGAACAGCAGTGCCAGCTTCACATAATGTATAAAAACACTAAAGGCCACCTGTGCACTAGAGATCGAATTGAGAAGCGTCTGACTGCAGACCTCACATCTGAGGACCCCCAGGTCTGTGAGCCAATGAAAGGAGACATGAAGTGTGTCATCTTTATAAATGACTGATGATTAAGTTCTATTTCATTTTCACAGCAGGACTTTACACAGAAGGCAGTTACCTGCTCTTGAAAAGAAGTAAAATAAACTTGAAAGAAGCGACTCACACATATTTTGGGATAGTTTCCTCTGGCTTGAAGGACCTGGGCTCCCCAGATGTGAGGTCTGGGTTGGACCATCTTGTTGGAATCAGCTGTCTAACTAGCCCGCTAGCTGGTAAACTGTCTATGTATTGTATACCAGCTTAGTGTTAAGGTTAGTTGCTTTAGAGTAACTGTCTTTACAGCCCAGGTATACACTTTTAAAATATTTCATCAGTCGTGGTAGTTGCCACCTGAAATAAACTATTCAGGTTTCGAAATATTCAGGTTACAAATGTCTTATGAGGAAAAAAAAATGCATTCAACAAACACGTTGAATGCATTTGCAGTAATGTTACTGCATAGTCACTTTTTTAGACACCCATGTGTAGCTGTTACCTGCTGCAGCATCTCCTCAGTGGAAGCCAGTTTAAGCCGGTGTTCCTCCAAAGAGCTTTCTAGATCTTTGATCTTCTCTCCCTGGGTCTCCACCTGGTCGGTCAAAACACTCACCTAGTGGGAGACAGGCATATTCTGTTAAGATACCCAGGCTAAATGCAGGCCTACAGCTAACTTAAGATAATACACAGCTATCATCAGAGATTCAGTTTGTTCTTTTTAGGGTTAGGCACCCTATGCAAACAACGCATTTTGGTCAATTCCTATGTGAATTAAAAGTAAATAAAACCTTTGCAGCAAGCAAACAAATATTACCGTGCTATTACTTTTACCTAAATTAGCCATCCAACTTTAAAGCTTTATTTAAGGGTGTAGTAGCACAAAGAAAATAAAAAGACAAGGTATGACTTTGATATGTTCGTATAAAGTGTTGAAGGGCAAACCTCAGTGTTAGTAAAAACAGCCTCCTACCTCCTCTGTTCCCCGCTGCTCACACAAATGAAGGTGAACATTTGCTATAGGAATGTTAGCTACCAGTGTGTTAGTATGTATATGCTAACACACACACACACACACACACACATACACACACACACACACGGGAGGTAAAGAGAAAGTAAAAACATGAACCACAAAGGGGGCAAACTCTCAACAGCCAGTTACATTTTCTGACAGGAAAAATAAGCCCCGGTCACATTTTCAACCAATCACGGCCCGACGTCAGACAAGGCACATGTAATAAGTAGGTGGGTGTTTGTGTGTGTGTGTGTGTGAGAGAGAGAAAGGAAATATGAACTTTTAAACAACTTTCTAAGCCAAAGTTGTCCATGAGGGTGGTGCACTTCAAAAAGAGACCCACTCACATGAGCCTACACAGAGCAACAAACAGACATGTACACAGATGAAGAGAGCCTGAGGGGTAGTGTAAAGGCTAGAGGAGGAGAAATGTTACGACAGACTGTGGATATCACAGATGTATAAACCAGTTATTAAAGTAATCTAAGACCAGAGAGAGCCTGTTGACATCACACAGTGCAGAGATATACAGTATGATCATCTGCTTTATCACAGCAGTAGTCGCTGTAAAAGTCGTCAGCAAACACAGGCTCAGACGGGTTGAAGGTGTCCAGGCATGTTTTGCTATGGAATAACATGAAAAAGCCAAAGTCCCAGGACTTTGCACTACACACCAGGATGTTTTTCCAGTGAGGCACCAATCCTTTCAGACAAATCCCTGGCTCATTTATTCACAGGATTCAAATTGATAAAACATACCTGGTCTATAATTAAAATTATATTTTAGTTTGACAGTCTTTTTCCTTTTTCTTTTATTTATTTATTTATTTTTGCAAATGCTTAAGCAAAATCAGGACAATGGAAAAGATTGAATCAGATTCAGCTGCAGAAAAATAACAGTAGAGAATGGGAGGAAACAAGGCACCACAGGGTCCCAGCTTGAACCCCTTGGGACTGTACGAGGCTACAAGGATATTCCATAATATTGTGTTTAATAATCACTTAGCCTAATAGCAGTTAATTGTTTTTAAAGTTCAGTGAAACTAGCTCTCACTAACTCTGCAATGGATGTAAACCGTCTCAGAACAAACTTATTGATGGTGTATTCTCTCTGTCAGTTGTAAATGAAGCACACATATATATATATACACACTCACACACACACACAGCTCTAACCTGTAGCACCAGGGACTCCTTGTCTCCCTCTAGGCGAAGCAGTCGCTCTTGGTAGGTTTCATCACCGCCTGGAGAACACAGGTTCACCTGGTCGAGACAAAGCAGAGCAAGGGAAATATAATTATGGTTTTAAATGCAAATGTGAAATTTCGTATAATCATCGCAATTATACGAAAGATGTACCAATACATAAAAATAAATAGGCAACTGAATAAAGTAAATTCAGTTCATACAATGCAACATTAGTTTAGTTGTTGACAGTTTTTAAACCATTGGAACAAGGGAAAAAATTAAAATGCTTATTTTTCTCTTAAACACCACACTAAAATTTATGAAATGTCACAATTTGTTTACAATTTGAATGAAACTATTATATAATAATCATTACTAATTTACTTGAAAAGGATTAATGACTAAAGTCAGTTTCAGGAATTCTCTGTTTGAAGACCAAAATTTGGTGATAATGAACAGGATGATTTTCTCTGGAGAACATGTTAAGTTGGATTATTTAAACCACAGTTAAAGAACAGGGCCCTGGTTGTGTGTATCATTATTCTGCCAGAAAGAGGTGCATTTATACTACGGTCAAATGAAGCCCATTAGCTACACACAGGTACACTCCATTCAGATATGTGACTTCTAAATCTGATGGCTTGTACCAGTGATGAGATGTGTCCTATCAAACATGCAACATGTATTCATTTTGATCGTTTTGTAGAGATGTTTTTTGTTTAACATTACATTGTCTTTTACTGTTATTGTCAAAAAATCAAATGAATACTGTAACAGCACAAAGTGAGACTGTGGTGGTACATAATCCATTGATTCTTATGCCATGTGCAGGATCAGTCTGAGCTGACCCACTGACTTATTCCTGCTCAAGGCTAACAGAGTGGTTGATGTTTCACAAGGCACGTGATACAGTTATGAAAGATCATCTGACTCATCTGACTCTCATTTTGCCAGAAATAAATGATCAACGTTTCTTAAAGCTTGTGTTCTGATTTTCACTGTACCATTGCCATCTCTGAAGCCACTGAGACTAACAAAGCATTAAATAAAAACACATATGAACTTTTTTTAGGAGCCACAAGTAAAAAATGTGGTGTCAGACTGTCTAGAAATAGAAATGCTCTGTGATGTAGTTACACAAACACTGTGTAAAAGATCTTTCCTTTTGGTCAGTAGCTTTTTTGGCAGCTTTGTTTTTCCTCACTATTAAAGTTATAGCTGGATTATGTGTTCAGCAACTCAGGAAGCAAAAATGAAAATCTAGCAGAACTTTTTTTAAATGATGGATTCACAAGTGCTTCCATTTCTTTCTAGAAAGTCAGATTATCTGGGGCTGCTGACTGCTTGACCTCCTGCTGTTAACACGGCCACCCAGGAAGAGGCGAACATTATGTTCCAGCTATGAAGCCCAGACGTGATTGGATGGTGTATTTTCATCATCTTTTTTTTGTTTGTCGTTGCTTTTCCTCAAAATCATGGCAGAAGATGTTTTGCTTTTCAGCTCAAAACAGTTCCTTCACGTAGCAAAATATGTTCTTAAATCCTTGGTTTCATTATAACTACATTCATGAAGGTCACAGTAGTGTAAGCGCACACATGTAAGGCACATTGAGTTAACTTTACGTCTGTGTCTGACTGTCTACGAACATGGGCAAAAGACCTTCAAATAACCCCCATTTAATCCTCGATGATCTGTCTGCAGCTGAGATCAGTGAGTTCAGAGGATCCTCCTGACTCTTGACCATATGGTCTCATTAAACCAGTTGGCATATAACTACGGTGTAAATTGACTCAAAAGACAAATGTGGGAAGGAAAGATAGAAAGCATGAGACCAAGAGAAAGTAAAATGACACTGAATCATTTACTGAAACCATGTTTGAATTAGCTGTCGCCAGCATTTCCATATAGTGTGACTTTTGGTGCACTTGGTCACTCAAGCAGGACAAGTCAGGAAGTATGTGAAATGGGCTCTAGTCACAGATCACAGGAAGGCGATAAAGCACTTGAAGGGGCCGTTAAAGGAAACCAGGCCACTCTGTTTCTATCTGTCTGTCATCGCCTGGTGGATTCTGTGAGAATCTGAGGGCAGAGCTTGGTTCTGACACATCATCACTGAATCAAGACTAATGGTACTATAGTCACATTTTATCCACAAACGTCTCTGTAGAAGACCACTTATTAAACGTTGTATGTCAGAGGAGTAGTTGAAGGTTTATTATTATTTATTTACACGTTCATCCATTTGCATGAAGTGACTTGACCGAGTTGAATTTTGTTATTTGTACATTTCTTGCAGGCTGTGCAGTGTGTAAACTTGTGGCTAGAGGAGTGGGTGGGACTCCCAATGGCAGTACAGTACATGATCCCAGTGACTAAGAATGCATGAGACATGCAGGACACCACCTAGCTTTATCATCACAAAAAAGTGCTCTGTACAGGAGTCACTGCTCTGTCCATACCCCTCCCCAAACATAAACTCACTTATTACTTCAACTGTCCAAGTCAAGGTGTGATCATGTTAGGAAGACTGACAGGATTAGTGACAACCTGCTTCTGAGGGGAACAAAGTGACTAAACTGCTTCTGTGCATGGAAACAACATTTTTCCCTCTGTTGCTTTTCAGTGCTGAGTGTTTGTTTGACCATACAGCGTGTATAATACATGATCTTGTGTAGTCATAGTCACTCCACCCCATTTCTAAATCCAATTTAAATGCTGGTCCAATTCAATTTTATGCCCACACAGCCTGACAATCAACAATTCCAGTTAGTGTGGACAAAGAATTTTAAAGTGACCTGGTGGTATTCAGGGTGAAGTGCCAATTTTTGATTATGCAGATCTATGTTTGAAATATAGTTCTGAGCATGCTCTTAATCATGTTTTATAAGTGACAGATATAGATAAAAACAGCTGTTTACTGTTACAGAGTGCACCAAGCAATGTGAATAAAATGACAGGATAGCTGTGTTACATGTTCCTGCAAATGAACCTGAACTTCAACAATGAGGAAAAAGTGCAATTCTGTATATGTCACTTTGCATGCATTGCTATGTCACGACACACTGATACCAAAAGACAGTTTTAATAACATGGTATTACTGATTTCAGCAGCCCAGCACAACAGCATGTGAAAGGTGTCAGAATGCAGAGGCCTACAGCAGCAACGCATGAGCCCAAGAAATTGTTCATAAACTGACATCGGCCTCCTTTCAAGACAGACCATACACTGAAAACAGACCCATCTTAAAATTTTGACAGTAGACTCAAAAATAACTTAAACACATCATGTACAGTAACTACACAGTGTAAATCATACAGAGAAGCATCAAATTGATGAGCGCTATAAAACTGGCCCTCTTTGGAACAACAACAACATAATGTTCTGAAATCTCAGATCTAATAATCTATTTCTTAATGACAAAAATAACTTTGTGCAACATAATTTAGGATACTGTTTCATGCTCTGTGTGGGGATTGTTAATGGCCCAAACAGCTGCTGGAATTATTCCCTTGAACCAACTGTGAAGGTCAGCTTAAAGGACACTATACAATGCTACAAACATTTTTAAATAAAACTGACATTTCTATACTTTTTAGGATGTTAAAGGGAAATATTTTAAGCCCAACATGAAGACAACTGGCAAAATGACAAAACAAGTCTTGGCTCCTATCATCTGTTTACATGACTCGAAGACAACATAAAACTTTGTGTCAGGTCCACTCGGCACGGCCTGCCTCTCTTTCTCCCTTTTTTCTCTCTCGTCCTGTGGGATCGGCGCCTCAGCTGTGTCGCATTCAGTCATCGGTGACTCGTTGGTTGTTGTGCACAGCTGAGGCGCATTCCGGTGATCACCTGGTTACCTTATTTAAACCTCTGGCAGACGCTCTGTCGTCGCTGGAGCATTGATGATGATGATTGCATGTACTACTTGTAAGTACATGTATGTAAATGCGTGTATGCAGTCGTCACACCATTTGATTTTCAACGCTGACAGTCCCTGTGCTGTTGAATTCTTGTTTTCTTTTTTGTTCGCTACTCCGTTTCCCTAACTGCCTTAGCTAAATCACCATTTTTCCACTAGCACCTGGGGCTGCATCTTGAGTCCTACCATTGTTCTCCCTCACCCCCTGGTGAGGAGGACGCAACCATAACACTTTGTGTCTTAACAGCACAGGTCTTGTGTGGCTCTTGTGCCTCTCTCTGATTGAATCCTGTGGTATCAGACACTGTTTTGTCAACAGCAATCAACTGCTGGATAATGCTTCTAATCTGATAACACAGACCTTGTGATGTGTGCCTCCACACACATACACATACACACATACCCACACCCCTCAGCACTAACAAGTGGAGATGCAGCCCAGCTCTTGAGCTATGGGAAATTACATCAGAAAACACTGGGAAACAAGACAAGAAGAGGGTGTTGACATGCTTCTAAACTTGGACATGGGGACAGAGGACAAGACCTTTTCCTTTAAACATGGCTCTTCTCTCATTACGGTGCAAACTCTTATAAGAAATCAGTTTATCAAAAGGAATGTGCAATGAGGTCAGACAAAAAAATGATAGAAGAGAGGAAAAAGAAACTAAAGTAAAACCCCAAGACTCACCTTTTTGAGCCAGGAGAAGTGTCTGTAGAAGTCAATGGGAGTCTCCATGCTCCCAGCCCATTGCTGCCCTGCCTATTTCCTCCCGGTCTTGTCAGTATCTATGAGAATCTGTGCATTAGTGCGTGTGCATGTGTGTACGCACAGCCCACAGACGAGACAAAGCAAAAGTGGAGTCTGGAGTTTACAGACTGCTGTAGCATTCCAGTGCTGTCAAGCAAATGGGCGTGAAAGTGTGCGTGTGACTGCAATGTTCACAGCTGTGAAGGGGAGCGTTTTACAATCTCTGCCTTCTGAGTGGGACATCCCCCCGCCACTCCATCCCTTTGGCCCCCTCCTCCTACAGTACTTCTCGCTTTCCTTTCATTCTTCAGTCCCACTGTGGCCTCTCTCACTCTCGCCCTAATTTCTCTTCACTTATCTCTCTTTTCATCGGACACTTGCTGCCTCCTCCTCAGCCTCCCCT